AACCTTTATCCATGACCTGTCTGATGTGTTCCTTGGCCTTCATGGTGCCGTTTGTTCACAAATGTTCTCTAACAAACCTCTGAGGCCTTCACAGAACAGCACAGAACAACATTAATACCGAGATTAGATTACACACTCTATTTACTAAATAGGTGACTTCTGAAGGCAATTTGTAGCACTGGATTTTATTTAGGGCTGTCGGCTTAAAAGGGGCTGAATACTTTTGCACGCTACATTTATTTTGTGAAATTTCTTTAAAACCATTAATCATTTTCCTTCCACCTCACAATTATGCGCCACTTTGCGTGTACGTTTCTGGTTGTAACATGAAAAAATGTGGAAAAGTTCAAGGGGTATGAATACTTTTGCAAGCCACTGTAAATGTAAATTTATGAGGTCTTCATTAGAACATACATACAAAATAGGTGATTGTTTGTATTAATCTAGGGATTTTTAAAGTCTCCCCTCAGACAAAGCTTGGAATAAGGCGCCCCCGCTTTAGTTTACTTGGTTAGTTTTGCCTGTCGTGGACGCCTAAGGGATCATGATAATGTTATATGATCACATAAACAGACAGAAATGAGCCAAGACAGCCTAATATTCTGTTTGACATAACTTCAGCCTACACTAAATACATAATAAAGGTCTCTGGTAAGGCATTTATTAGTCTCTGGGTAAGTGGGAAAAATTTTAAATTCTCTAAAACTACTGTATCTCTGAACTATCTATTTAACCAAATCAAACACAGCGAGGCTATTCTATATCTCCCTTAGATAATTAATGTAATTTTTTCACTGAGCCTCCCATGAAACTCTTTGGAGCCCTCCTGGGGAGGCCTGTCCCCCACTTTAAGCCTCTGTATAAGTCCATCTATTCAAGAGCAGAATCAGCAAAATCTGCCTAATGTTTTCCTCTGTGCTGAACCTTTTATACTTTTACATTTAACAAGCTCCCTCATTTATTACAGATGAGTTTTACTGCACAGTCGGCTGCCATCCCACCCGCTGCAGTGAGTTTGAGCAGAATGGAGAATCCCAGTACTTCTCAGGGCTGAGGGAGCTGGCATCAGCACACAGAGGAAAGGTGGTGGCCATCGGAGAGTGTGGACTCGGTGTGTACTGCTACCGCTGTTGCGAACAGAAATGATTATAGTTTTTATAATACCATGTTATATATACTATATTTAATATACTAAAAACTAATATTGTATTTATATGTAAGCAACAAATTTATATAATACAAACTACTCATATCAGTGTAAATAAGCTGTGGGTAACAATGAGTATTTCCATTGTTTAGTGATGTGTTGAAGCTGTAATAATGATGAATAATGCTGTGTCTTTTTGTCTTGTCCCAGATTTTGACAGATTGGAATTTTGCCCCAAAGAGACTCAACTTAAGTAAGTTAATTTGTCACTAGTGAATATTAAAAGCTACTCTAACCCTCCAACTACCACAAAATTGGCCTTTTAGCCTTTAAAGTGTACCTGTGGGTAGTTGCAAGAAGCCCCATCACTGGTTGTGTTTAACTACAGACTTTTAACCAAAGATTTCCCCTCTTTACATTGTACCATTCATAAAGAGGTAAAACCAGCAAATACTTATAAAATCTGTTTACTTTTGGTTTGTAGTTGCATCAGGTTGGATGAACCTGATATATATGTGCCTGGCTGCATTTCTGGTGTCTTTGATTGTCCTTTTGAGCCAGATTCACATCTTCACTGTTTTGCAGCTACAGCTTATGTTAAAATATGGCTACAAGTAACAATTATTTTCATTAACAATGAATCTATTGATTATTTATTTGATTCATTGTTTAATTAATAAGTCAAACAAGTTTAAAAAACTGCCCATTACGATTTCCCAACACCCCCAGTCACACCTTCAAATGACTTGTTTTGTCAGGACAACAGTTCAAAATCCATAAGTAAGTGAAAAATTAGAGAGAAAAGCAGAAAATCCTCACATTGGAGAAGCTGGAACAAGTAAATATTCCAGCTTCTCCATGTTGCATTTTTATTTGATAAATGACATTAATTTACAATTGTTATCTGTTAATTGTATGTTGAACAATTCTCTTTATTTTATTATTTAAGTGTGTCAGAGCTCCAGTGTCCATATTCCATAACAATATTAGTAAGTAAATGCAGTCCTGAAATAACCTTTATTTGGATAAACTTACTTTATTTCCCCTCTCTTTGCTCTTTCTGGTCCTTAACAGATTCTTCGAGAAGCAGTTTGACCTGGCAGAGGAGACCAAGCTGCCCATGTTCCTCCACTGCAGAAACTCCCATCAGGAGTTCATCGGTAGATTTTTGCACCACGACCTGCTCTGGATCATGAGAGGGATTTTCATACAAGACATTTTAACTGTTTCTTTGTCTCTGTTTTGACAGACATCATGAAGAGAAATCGAGACCGATGTGTTGGAGGAGTGGTGAGGCATTTGTTTTATACCGTATGCTATTATACACTGTATACTGTTTGGTAGAAAGTATACAGGAAAGATAAACACTTATCTACTGAAAGGGAACTTTGACTCTTTGCTTTGCTGCTGAAATTGTTTGATTAGATGTTGATTGATGTGGAAGCTGTTTTAACATCTTCTGCAATTCGTTTACTTTTTTTTAGCTGTGTCTATCTCTTCCATTCCCGTTGTGCATTGCATTTTGTGATCCTGGGAAATCTCCAATCTACCTGAAGTGATGTATTTAATAGACACTTTGCAGTAAAATCTGTAACAACAATCTGAAATATCTGTAAGAGTTATTTTCTTTCAGGTCCACTCATTTGATGGGACTGCAGAGGACGCTGCTGCCCTCACTGACCTGGACCTCTATATTGGAATAAATGGATGGTAAGAGGATTTTGAAATATGAGGTGGAGGTTTTCCCCCCCTGAACCTCAAGAATGAACCACATTTGCACTCATTTCCACATCGCATCTAACTTTATTTGCCACTGGTCTAAACACAAGCAAAGTTTTTCATTAGAGTCAACCGTAGACAGACTAAGGAGCTGACAGGACATGTGTTGCATTGTTAGTCAGCCAAATTAATCATTAAATTATTTAGTCAATTTGAACAGTTTTATCGTTATTTCTATGTTTCAGTTCCTTGAAAACAGAGGCCAATATTGAAGCTATGAAGTCTATCCCGACTGAGAGGCTAATGATAGAAACAGGTGAGTGTATTGTAATAAAGAATGCATTTGACAAAAAGTGGCCATTGAATGGTTTAAGAAAATAAATTAGAATAGCAGTAAATTTGTTGTTAACCACATTAAGCCAAAATTTCCTCATATTCCAGTTAAATTGCTCCAGAATTAATATTTTACATCAGATTTGCTGAAGAAGCTGTATCACAGTTTCATAATTACATAAAATTAAAAAATCTGGATGTTTTGTGCATCACATTGCTGTTAGTCATTTATTTATGCATTAATACGTACCTGCTCCTTCCCAGATGCTCCGTGGTGTGGCGTGAAGAACACTCACGCAGGCTCCAAATACGTTAAAACTACATTTCCCACGAAGAAGAAATGGGAGGCGGGGCACTGTCTGAAGGACAGGAACGAGCCCTGTCACATCATGTGAGTAATGTTGGAGTGCAGTTAGAGGGTAAAAAACTAACTCAACGGATAAATTGAGCGAGTTAAACATGAATGTTTTTTACTCCATCATGCACTGAATTTAAATAGCTAATGTATAAATTTTACTATTTGTCTCTTCAGACAAGTTCTAGAGGTGATGGCAGCAGCGAGGGAAGAGGACCCCCTAGAGCTGGCCAATGCAATCTACAACAACACCAACAAAGTCTTCTTCAGCTCCAGCTGATGATGATGAACATGTTTAAACTTTCATGAGACCAACTGACATGGTCTTATTTTACTTAAAGACCTGATGAAGGCTTTGTAAACGTATGTGTGTGTGTGTGTGTGTGTGTGTGTGTGTGTGTGTGTGTGTGTGTAAGATTTGTCCAGGGGTAAAACTCTCCTTTTGCCAATTGTGAAATTGCTTCTGAAATAAAATAATTACATTTTCACAGGTGTTTCGTTAATGCTGAAAGAATTACATTTTTTGGTGTTTCTTGTAGCTGTAAATTAAGTTATTGGTGAAGCCACGGTCTGACTCCCCTGTTATTTGAACCTAGCGGGTGCTTCTCTTCAAACACAATTTATTTTAAACACAAGGCTATCTGTATGATTTCAAAACAACAATACAAACAAACAATAATGAACTTTTCGAAAAAGAAATGAAAATGTCCATTTCATATACAAAAAAAGTACCGCCTGTTTTTTAAATTTATCAGTCAGTGTCAGAGTAGAGGGATGTAAATATGCATGTATGTTGAATCACAGATGTGATACAGGACGTGCATGTTTGTAAAAATGTTTTACATTAGGAGCAGTGTTTAACAATAGAGATGGAATTAAAGACAGAAGAACAGCATTTTAGCGGATTGAATGAAACTTTTGCTTGTGTAATTAGTCTTTTTTTTTTTATGTTTAGCAAATGTGTCAGATAAAGCGGCCACGTGCGAAACATAAAACTATACAGATGAATTAGCCAACATAAAGCTAAGAGGAACAGCATACGACATAAAACTTTAAAGAAAATAGAACAAGCGAACAAAACGATTATAGTTTCTCTTTAAAGGAAGGTTTCGTTGTAGTTTGAGAGTCTATGAGATAAAGGGTTTTTATGTACTCTATATCTTTAATCTAAAATATCAATTCCTGCTATAAAAAACATTTCTCAAAAATTTAAGAGAACCTCCAGAAATAGCATCAAAAATATTCTTTATGTTGTCATTTTTGGAGGATTTCTGAATGTGACAGTAACATACAGTTCTTATTTAAGAGTTGTTCTAGTAATAAATGTAATTTTGTTACTTAATCAAGTGCAATAATGGAGCAATTGCACATTTTGTGTTTTGTTTGTGCAACGTGTTACGTCAGCTGCCACACCCTCTGACGCTTGAAGTGACGTTACGTTACGTCGGAAGCATAACCAACAGCCTAGCAACTTCTGCAGTCTTCGCAGAGCAACCAAAGCAATAGGAAACGGCCACTTCGGAGATCTCCTAACATTTTTCATGACACTGAGCGACACAGGATCTGAGGAGAACCCTGAAGTGTAGCGGACGGTGTCGATAACACTCCGGATGCCAACAAGTCAACATTAAAGAGCAAAAGAAGAAGCAACAGGAGGTTCCGCTGGGCCGAGATGGCGGACAGCAGCAGGTTCCCGGCTATTGAATAAACGCCAGGCAAAGCGAAACCGAAGACGACAGGCGGCCGCTGCTGGCGGACTGTAACTTATTTAATGGTGCATGGATAGCCGGGGTCTGTAAGCTCTTCACCGAAGCCGCATGGCGTCCACTCAAGCCCGGATAGGCCGGCAGGCCTTAGCGGTGCTGGATGTGGCTCTGCGAGTTCCCTGTATCTTTATTATTGACGCCATTTTTAACTCATACTACGACCCCGGTTCGGGATGGGCCGGTGCGGTGGGCAAGGTGCTGGTCCGGGTCACGGGTAAGCATGTTAAAAGTCCGGTACGGGAGCCTCCAAAGTCTGTCCGCAGACCACAACACACACTGACAGCTAGCTAACCGCCGCTTTAGCCGTGACGTTAGTGTGAAGCTATGTCACCTGTCAGAGCGACTAAAGCCGATTTAACTCCCAGCTGTAATATCAGGACAAGCTAAAATGATCTAACACGGTGTTTAACGAGTTTGCTTTAGACCCAGTTCAGCCTGGTTTGATGCTTAGCAGCTCGCTATCTAGCTACGAGCTATTAGCTAAGCAGGTGTGTTATCGCAGGTATTGTGTCAAAGTCAACTGAATCCAATTTAAGTTCTCAAAGTGACCGTGGGGGGAAATTTTCTCTGCCATTCAGCCTGTCGACAAATTGTTCTTTATCCCTGTAACTTTGCCTAGAAAGCTATTATCTTGCATGAATCAGGGACTTAACTCTGACTTGTAGGCGTGGGGGATATGAACATACTTGATATTTCAGTAATAGACATTAGATCTGGAATTTGATTAATTGTTTGTTCAATAAAATGTCAGAAAATATTTTTTAAAAAGCCCTTCACGATTTCCCAGAGTCCAGTTTGACTAAATGTCTTGTTTTGTCTGACCATCAGTCAAGAACCCAAACATAATCAATCATAGAAGACTTAAAAAAGTAAGAGCAGATTATCAAAATTGTTGCAAATTCAATTTCTTTTCAAGAACCGATGGATTATTTCACCTGTAATCATCACACCCATCATCTGAGTTTATGGCAAAAAGTAATGCTTGAGTACAGTGAGTCACTGCAACAAAAATCCTACATGTTTGAAACTAGGCCTTTTATTTTATTTTATATTTCACATTATGACAGATGTTTGTGAGGTTTTACATCCTTTTCATTTAGACATTACCATTTTAAGCAATTATGCTTTACTTTAATGCCTATTTGGGCACAATATACCATCAGCAGTTGCATTTTAATTTTAATTAATGATATTAAATATAAAAGCATTTTTACAGACAAGCCTAATTCGACATAACATATTTATTATTGTATCTCTCGACTTGCAACAAACATTTTTGTGTTTTTGTGGCACTCGACAGGCATAGTTTCATCTGTTCATTTTCTTGAACCCGGTCTACATTAATTACAGCTGTTTTTATTCTTCTTTCTTTATTCTAAACAACTTTTTAAAGCTTCTTTCTGTGCAACATTTAGTTGTTAACAGAAAACACTACACAGATAAACAACTACCAGGTTACATAACTCTCCATTTGTACAGTTTGTAGACCTTTGAACAGCTCAGTCTCCGTGAAAAGTCCTCTTGGTGTTTAGTCAAGGCTCTCTGGGTTTGGAGAGGCAAGGGGTCAAATAAGGTGCCTTTTTAAAGTGGGTCAGCCAAAAGTCTCTTGTTTCTACAACCCACAAATTTTTTTGTTTAGTTCGAGCATGTAAATCTAGTAATGTTTGCCTGAAATAAATACAAATAGACACAAACTAAAATGCTAAAACGATAATATTTTAATAAATTAAAAGCCCTCACAAACACCCCTTTAACAGCAAAGTTCATTACCCTGTGTCAATTAAGTCAATGAACTCTTTACACAGGTGATTCAAGAGGAACGCAGCTTGTCAGTTACTGATAAACATTGTTAGGGACTGAAGGTCAAGGTGGCAATTTATACAAGGGGTATAGAAAGAGTAAAAGTAGATATTTACGTATCTACATTAGTTTCTACGTAGAGATTTTTTTGCTGATTTTTTTGCTGCTTTTACCAGACTAGATTTTAACAGACTGCCCACTAACCATTTTTGTTGCAACTGTTTTCAAAATTTAAACATGAATCAATTCATCCAAGGAAATTTCCCTATTTAGACATAGTAAGATCCTGTCCTGTTTTGACAATTGGTGTATGACTTGAAGTGTGTATATTTCTAAAAAATGAAAACAACCCCAGTGCGCACACATACAGGATAGGACAGGTAAATTTATTGTCACAAAATAACAGGTTATATAATGAAATTGAGCTTTTGTAACTCCCTTCTGCTACATAGCAGACACTATACATTAATAAAGAAGTAATCCTTTCACAAAGCGGACTCAGGTGTTAATTTTATCTATTTATTTTGTGTGCTTCCATTTTTCACTTGAAATATACTAAAGGTTTTTTTGATAACTGTATGTGTGATTCAGGACAACAACGTCCTGCAACCAACCATACAAGTTATAATGTCTTAAGAAATGTTTGATTGATGAAATGTTCGACTCTTTCTTTATTTGCCTTGCTTTGCCCTGTTGCATTGTCAGGATTATAGCTCTGCAAGCAAGCTGATTGTTTTCCTCCTAACCTCGCTTGTGTATGTTCAGATTCTTTACTTTAAAATCCACACTTAATGCTGTTTAATCGGACAGATTTATACAAGGTTCAGGGTCTACCTTTTAGTTGCATCTAATGATGAGTGCTGCGAAATGCAACCAATGGCTCATTCACTGCTCACCCCTCCCTTTGCAAACACGGAGGAGAAGCTGCGGTGGCCGGTACACTCTGTCGGCACTTGTGTTAAATAATATTTGTGCTCCTCCATTTGTCTAAAGTTCACTTCTCTTTTTACTTCTAAGAAAACCGACGACGACTACTACTATTATTATTACTACTTCTTCTTCTTCGTACGTTTTCAAGTTGTGATGAAACATGCTCTGTAGAGCAGTTTGTCCATTTGGGCTACTGTAGAAAGATGACCGTGCAACATGGCGACGTCCATGTAAGGGGACCTGCGGTGTATGTAGATAGAAATGTCTCATTCTAAGTTAATAAAAACATAATGGTTCATTATGTAAGGTCCTTATACACCACTGAAAATATAGTTACGGACATTATATTGCATTTCCATCAATAGATCCTCCTAATTGTTACACACTGGACCTCCAATCAGACAGATTACAAGCTACAGTCAGCAATTGTCTTCTGTTCATTTTCTGGTCTTTGCTCACTGCGTCTCTTGTGTGTCCCAGGTGTCCTCATCTCCAGCGTTGTGCTGCTGCTCTCCCAGAAAGCCTTGTTCAAGTTCTACACCCTCTTCTTTGCCGTTGTCCTCGGCATGGCAGCGGTCCTCTTCAATTACTACGCCACCTCCCACATAGACTTCTATAGCGCCTACTACAAAGCAGCTCTGGGATTCAGGCTGGTGCCCAGAAACGGGCCGACGCTGTGGCTGGGCATGGCTGCAGTCCAGCTTGGTTTTGGTGTGGGCTACGTGTTCCTGCTCAACCTCCAGTCTGTGTTCGCCGCGCTGGTGGTCCTGGACATCATGATCCCTCTGTGGGGGCTAATGATTGAGCTGCCTGCGGATGTCAGGCAGCTGGTGGCTTTATTCTCAGGCCTGGCGCTGACAATAAACACAGCTGTGTGCCTGGCCATGAGGCTCAAATGGTTTTACTACTCCTGCCGGTACGTCTACCTGCTCGTAAGGCACATGTACAGGATCTACGGGCTTCAGCTGCTGCTAGAGGACACGTGGAAGAGGATCAGATTCCCAGACGTGCTGCGTGTGTTCTGGCTGACTCGGGTTACCGCCCAGGCGCTGATCCTGGTCTACGTGGTGCGGGCGGTGAGGAGGGAGAGCGGTGACGCCACAGACGGGAGCCCTGACTCACAGGTAAGATCAGAACCACTCAGTCTGCTTTTAATCAGGTCTGTCGGTCTTAAAAAGCATTTTAAAAAAAACAATGAATTCAGTTCCTCCAAAAAGTTCTTAGACAATATCAAAAATTCTTAACATTTATTTGCAAGTTCTTGAATACGGTTGGTGTTTCAGTCAGTGCCGTCAGACCTGTAGCAAACATTGTCATTACTGCAGGCTACAGTAATCTTACAATCACATAATGCGCAAGTGTGAATTTTAGTAAAAGCTTAAATAAAATGTACTAATCATTTTTAATTTGGTAATTCAACCATCAATTTCCTGCTGGTTATCTGGGATGACCACATCACTAGAAATCCTTGTTATATACAGCTTGGAAGTACTGATAAAATTGTGAAATAAATGTCACTAACTGTATGTAGTTAACAGATTGTCGTTGGCATTCTCATCGCCACTGGCTTTCCATCATTCTTTGACCAGTATAACTGGAAAGCGTTTTTAAATTGCTTTGTGTGTGGTATTAAAAAGTGTCTAATTTGAATTAGGTCAATGCTGCAGAAACCCTGTAGGTCTGCAAAATACAAAGTAAGAAATAAATGTCTGTACACTACACCAGAAGCTATGTAAAGCCCAACCGATACGTCAGCATTGGTCGATTTCATTATATCACAAGTATATTTTTTTAGCTTGTGTGTAACAAGAAGTTGCATACCTAAATAAATACCAAAGATATACTGTTTGTTTGAGGTCATTTAAAAACCGCGTCTCTAGATGCATCATGGTTATAATTCTTAAATGACCAAATTTAAAGGATTCCAAAAATGTTTCTTTATGTTTAAAAAAAACAAACAGCTAATGCATCACTGTTAGTATCAGCCAGACATACGTAGCTCTGTGACTGCACTGTTTTCAGGGATACTTGCTGAGCTGGGATGTGTTCTGGGAACTGACGAGTAACCTGATCATCTCTGGCTGTGATTCCACGCTCACTGTTCTGGGGATGAGTGCCGTTATCTCCTCTGTAGCGCACTACCTTGGCCTCAGCATCCTGGCCTTCATAGGTACGGCCGAGTGTGTTTATGTTAAACAACAACTGTGCTGTACAAACTTTTATAATCTGCCGTGCGTACTGGCTGTAAGAAAGCCACTAAAGTTCAGTGTTCTGCCTCATTTTGACCCTCCAGGTTCGACTGAGGAGGAAGACAAACGTTTAGGCTTCGTGGCTCCTGTTCTGTTCTTCATCCTGGCTCTGCAGACCGGCCTCAGCAGCCTGGACCCTGAGGAACGCCTGGTATGTCGCTGCAGGATTCATGACTCCGGCTCCCTAGTTGATTGACAGATTGATTACTGAGTCGGGGTTAATTAGTGGATTTAGAAAGGGATCACAGACACAAGCCGACAGCGCAAGCTTCTGATTTGATGCTGGATGTTTCTTTACCTAAATTATTTTCTTTTTTTCCTCCCGTGTTTTTCCTTTATGTGTGATTTTCTCCAAATTTCTCTTCAGAGCACCTTTAGCAAAGGCTTCTTAAAGCCTCTGAAATACCTGTGTCAAGCCTATTTTGTATGCCATTGTTCATTATTACACAAACTGTGTTGGCGTATTGAAGCCTTTGTTATAAACAGAGAGAGATGCAGCAAAGGTTACTGGCCGGACTCCAATCAGATGACTTTGCAGTTCATGTTTGAAATCTTAACCCCTAAACCATGGGGGCTTAAAGTCTTATTTCTACCTTTTAATTGGCATTAAATAGGTCTTATTTTATATATTTAAAACTTGCAGTATTGCTTGCCGTTATGATCTAGTATTATATACAAGTGCTTCTCTCTGTCTTCGATTTGAAGGTCCGCCTGAGCCGGAACATGTGCCTCCTGCTGACGGCCATCCTGCACTTCATCCACGGCATGACCGACCCTGTCATGATGTCCCTAAGCGCTTCCCACGTCTCCTCTTTTCGGCGCCATTTCCCCGTCCTGCTGGTGTCCACGGCGCTCTTTGTTCTGCCCGTGGTGCTGAGCTATGCCCTCTGGCACAACTACGCCCTCAACACCTGGCTCTTCGCCGTCACAGCCTTCTGCGTGGAGCTCTGCCTCAAGGTAAGGATGGAGAATTTTTATTAACGTTATATTTGTTTAGAACATTTGTGGCTCTCTTGTCTTTATTAGCAGTTTTTTTTTTATTAACCACAAGGGAGTCTTTTTCTACTGGTCAAACAGAGACAGAGCCGACACCACAGGACCACAGAAGCAGGCTTCTGTCTGTCTACCTATAGACACCGTGGCCATGACTTTGCTATGCTAACTTTAGCTATTTGACCCAGCACGGCTAGTTTATGGGTGCTGAGTTGTAATAACAGTGAGAGAGCAAGCGAGCATGCATTTTGAGACTGAAAAAAAAGGAAGCTGCCTGACCAAGATCACGCACAACATGTTTTCTAAGCGAGTGAAAGCTGAAATGTTTTGACTCTTTCACAACCATCAACACCCAAAAGAACATGTCAGAAATCAGGACATGTACAAAAACACTAATGCATCTAAGGGACACCGACAGAAAGTATTTCACTTTTAACAACCAACCTGTATTGTTAAGTGTTTAGAGCAGGGATGAAACTGTTTGAAAATATCACGATTATAGTGACCAAAATTATCACGGTTATCAGTATTATCACGCTATTGTAAAAATGTGCCAAAAAATATTAAAATGTACTGATACACACACTGAAACCATTTCAAATTTATATTGAAAACTACAAATACAGTTGCCATTTTGTTTGCATAAAAAATAAAATAACAGCAAATACCTTTTGTAAACATATGAAAATCATCTAAGTGTGCATTATCAAGATTTTATATCATATAGGTAATACAATGACCCCGTGGACAATGACATGAAAACAAATAAGTCTTTAGAAGACAGTGGTAGTAACTGCATTACAGAGCAGTCTGTAGCGTTTCTAGATATGCTGGTTGGTTGACTAAACAGCGTAACGTGTTGAATGTAACGTGACGAATAGACTCTGCCGACACACGATGCAAACAACAGCAGAACAACGTGTAGTGTTTTTTACATACAGTCTGTGGTTTTTACAAGAGCAGCAACACTGAGAGCTTCAGTTTACACGCTGTTAGCAAGTCAGAGAGACAAACCAAAGCTAAAAGTTAACTCACCACAAATCACCTTGTTTCTTTATTTCCTCCCTCCAGGTGCTGGTGTCACTGACAGTCTACGGCCTCTTCATGGTGGATGGCTTCTCCAACGTCCTGTGGGAGAAGCTGGACGACTACGTCTATTACGTGCGCTCAACAGGCAACATCATCGAGTTCCTGTTTGGCGTCATCATGTTCGGAAACGGTGCCTACACGATGATGTTCGAGTCCGGCAGCAAGATCCGCGCCTGCATGATGTGTCTGCACGCTTACTTCAACATCTACCTGCAGGCCAAGAACGGCTGGAAGACGTTCATCAACCGCCGCACAGCTGTCAAGAAGATCAACTCCCTGCCGGAGGTGCGAGGGGACCAGCTGAGGGACATCGAGGACGTGTGCGCCATCTGTTACCAGGAGTTTACCACCTCGGCCCGCATCACGCCCTGCCACCACTACTTCCACGCGCTGTGCCTGAGGAAGTGGCTCTACATCCAGGACACGTGCCCCATGTGCCATCAGAGAGTTTACGTCGAGGAGGAGAGCCGAGACAGAGCCGCCTTTTCTAACAACAACGGGGGCTACGCAGTGCCGCAGGACGCCGCTGCAGCCCCACCAGCGCCGGGGGAAAACCAGCTTGGACAGCCAGCCGCCGAGCCGCCGGCTGATGGAGCGGCAGCCGGTGTTCAGGCTGCAGGAGGACCGGGGGAGCTCGACAACGAGCTGCTGGAGGACAACGACAGTATAGAGTATGACGAAGATGAGTGGGGGACTCAAAATGGCAGCACGCCAATAGAAGAAGACTATATCAATGACGACACAGACTCCACCGAGGACTGACGAGAGAGGATCTATAGAAAAGAAAATACATATATCTTTATTATATTTAAGTTAAAAATAATTATAAAATACAACTTCAGCATCTTAATTTGTTTTTGTTTTGAAAAAAATGTCAGGGATGTCATTCTGTTTTCGTCTTGTTAGGTTCTTATTGTTTGATTTTGAGATTTTGGGTTTTACTCTATAAGGGCTCGTGGAAAAGAGTAACTGCTGCTCTCATTCTCTCTGTGTGTGTGTGTGTGTGTGTGTGTGTGTGTGTGTCGGGGCTGCATGATGTCGACCAAAAACTCATACTGTTCTTTTTATTTTTTTATTTTTTTTATAATTTATCTAAAATTGGTGGATCCTGATTCAAATCTTGCTCTGTCAGCACAATTTCTGTTCATCTCGCCACACAATTTATTTCCCAGTGCCTCAAAGCAGACTTAAATTAATAAGTTAAACTAAATTATAAGATTCTGCACAGCACAAGTCAGCCTTGTTGAGGAAGCTGTGGAAATATTTTTTCCTCATTAAAAAAAAAAAAAAAGAAAAGCCTTCAGTCACATCACAACTCCTGTTTAGATTTTGTCACTTATGCAGCTCCAGTGTGTATCTGTATGAGTGTGCGCACTCAATGATACGTGTGACTGTGTGAGCCTGCCGACATATATTGTGCGTAGACTGTCTTGAAGATGCAGTTCATGTTCCCTAGCGGTGGATTATAGGGGAAACGCTGAAGTGTTAACTGTGGCGCCACGAAACAAATTCAAGCTTTAATTGGTCTGCGAGTCAGAATTTGAGTGTTTGTAGAAAGACAAGTTTGGAGCATTTTGTATGCTACCATTTGAAACCTGCTGTCACTATTTTCTCCAGCTGTTTTTATTTTGCCAAACATTATTGGTTACAGTCTTCATAACGTTGCTGCTTGTGTGCGTGTCAGTGGTGTTTGTGTCAGTGATTCTCGCTCTTGAACTTTTTGTCTTACAAAACCAGGCTTGATTGAGTGCTCTCAAATCCTGACTAGCAGATTGATCACGGCTCAGTTTTGTGGCCTGTTCAACAATTTTGTCCTCAACTAACTTTTAACAGGTAATCTGTGAACTTGTCCAGAGAGAGAATGAAGCCAGGAGAGTGAAGCAGTTTTCCATCAACTCCGCGCCAACCAGAGAAAAACAGAGGTGTGTCTGGGGGGGGGGGAGAAAAACAAGACTTGCTACTGTAATCACTGATATACCTCCTATCATTTACTACTGGTCTCTTGTGTGACCTCGCTTACATTTGTGTACGTTATTGTACATATAATAAGACATGAACATGCAAACATTCTCCCTTAAGATAAGAGGAGAGTTTGTTTTTAATTTCTTTTCCATATTTCTCTTCACATAAATCAGTATTTAATTTAGTTGAACACTTGTTCCAGACCTTGAACATGTTGTTTATAATAAGAGCGCTGATGTTGAGTCGCTGTACAAGCCAGCAGATGTAATATTTTGTTCCCAGAAGGGTAGTTATTCAGTAAATGCACCTTCATTTTTTTTTTTGCTTGTAATCACTGGAACAGACAGGAGCTTTTTCAGTCACCGTGACTGCACCTTCCCGACGGTCTCAGGGTCCCACTGCAGGGCTGGAAGAGTATTTTTAATGAGCCGCAGAAAAGTCTGGAAAAGTAGTTTTGTTTTTTTTTGCAGTAAACTTATAACTAACAACTACTGGACAATATACATCCCTCAGTGACGACCGAGATCTGCATTGTGAATTTGTGTTAAAAATGCTTTTTAAGCACAACTCTACAGAGTATTCTATTGTTTAGACTTCCACAGCCTGAACGTTTTAAACTCATGCGCATAACTGTTAATTACCTGTCGCAGAATGTTCTTGTTGATAATGAGATGAACTGGGGTCTAATTTGATTATTTAGTTTGATTTGTTCTGAAAGCTTTTTAAAAAGGTAAAAGCTGTTCAGTTTGCCTTTTGTTTTAAAAAGAGATGTATGTAAATAAAATCATCTTTGATAATGCGTTCGGACTCTGTCTCGTATCACTAACATCACCTGTAAATTACTTTAAGTACATATTTCATACACACAGAAATCCATAGAAGCTGCTTAAGTACAATTTAGGATCATATTTACTATATCATATTCTACTTTACACGAGTACACCCTTCAGTGTGGAGATGCAGTTGACTCATTGGACCGGTAGATGGTGCTATTTGGCTATTCTAAGTTGAGTGTATATGTACTGTATGTACAGTACATATACAGTTACAGTTTGCCATGTTGGGTGACAGCTTTTGAACTCAAGAAAGCAGCAAATGGCAGATTTCTTACTCTATTTTGGTCTGCCTTCACAGCAATACTACGTAATAGTTTGTGCTTTAAAATAGATTTATTTGACAAGGTAACTACATGACTTTGTACTCAGATTTCTACTGTGGTAGCCAAGATGTGTCACCTGATGTGGGTGAAATTGGCTGTGTTAGAGAAAACATTAGATATATTACAAGTATGCCGGGAACACACGAGATGAGATTTTTGTGTTATAGATAGTTGTAAGCATTTCATTTTGTCTTTGTAAAGCTCTGCACAAGATGGGTATGTCTTTGCTGGGGGGATGCTGAGGTGGTAGATATGACACTGTGCGACACATCCACCCACAACTGGTTTAGAGCTTTGGACACCAAAGAAAATTAAGATCAAATTCTTACAATGTGATTACTGCTGCAGCTAACGCCTACAAACTGAAGCCACTGTTGAAGGGGAGTTTTCTTTGCAACTGTTGTCAAGTATTTGCTCCTGGTGGGAATTTTTGGGTCTCTGTAAATAATATTACAAAGAGTACGGTCTAGACCTGGTCTATATGAAAAGTGCCCTGAGATGTGACATGCCTCAAGATTAGTATTGTACAATCCGAGACAGAAAGCATTCAAGGTTTTATTAGAACCATCTCACACAGTGTGACATCCAATTAACCTGCCAGATCTCATCAGATGTTATGGCACAGTGTTTAGGGGCTGAAAAGATGGACCAGTAAATTATCTCACCTACAGGCATGGATGGATTATGAGACAATGCGCCCCTGGGCAAAGATGGGTAAAAGGCCCATCAAATTGACATACCAGTACCAAGTTAAGCAGAACTCTCAGGTGTGGTTAAAAACTGTATAATGGAGATGAAGCAAGGCTGTATTCCTCTGCACAGATATTATACAAAACACTATTGCACACTACTAAATGTAATAGGAAAGGATCACTTTAAATTGGTAATATCTTCTTCGAGAAACAGCTACTCTGTTGGCAAACTGACTGAAATGGCTTCGCCAATTTTAATGCATTTTAATTTAATGCTGTAGTATGATAGGAAAAAACAAACAAGTACTGGATTTGGTTGGCGTATTCTCTAAATTAAAAGACCGATAAGGATCAAGCGCAAAAAGATGATCCGGGCATCCTTACTGTAACCAGAGCCCTTCCCAACTACAAATGTTAAATACACAGGTGAAGTGACAAGGGGCCCAAAGGGTGAGGGGGAGGAAAGAAGTGAAAACCGATGCAGTCCATCCAGTTTTTTCTTTATTTGTACTCTTAACTCACATCCTGTGGATTTAATATGAAAAGATGTGACCGGAAGCAACGCGCTTTATTTTGAAAGCCGGCGCCGGAAATGTGCTTTGTAATTCCGGCTGACTTGGTTAGTTATCGCTCGGCTTTAGCTTGAACTTCATGTGACAAACTCCCGACCTGCCGCGTCTTAAAAGATCATGACAAGCCAGCGGATAGTAAGAAAGGAAGAAATGTTCGGCGGCTTGAAAGTTAACCCGAGTTTCAGAGAAACGGTCATGAAAAGTCGTTGGTTTCTTTCTCATTGAGGTCGAAATCTAGCTAGTAGGACCGAACAACTTCTGCCCGAGCGCCAGTCGTTGCTGGGGCGGCGAGATCAACGCTCAAAGAAGCCTGTTTTATTTTTATTTTTTTTACATTTCACAGACTTGGGAGTAGTTATTTAATTCGCCGCAATGCTGACGTTTTTTGGACAGAGAGCTCTCCGACGGGTTGTACAGAAGTTGCCGTCGGTTCCTGCGAGGCAGGCGGTGGTAGCGCCGAGGCTGCCGGGGATAGTGCGACCCACACCCAGCCGCTGCCTGGGAACACATGGGAGAAACGAGCCGAAGGAGCCGCTCAACTCCCCCAAGAGAGCCAAAGAGTTTATTTACCGCCTCCACCCGAACGAGAGGACGTGTTTACTGAAGGAGCTGCAGAGTTTCGAGTCCATAGCCATCGCTCAAGGTAAGAAAGAGAGCAGGTCAAAGGTGACAGCTGAGATTTAATGACAGGTACGAACGGTGCACCGATATTGACCGATATTTATATATGTATCAGGTGGTAAATGTATAAACTATTGTTTTGACTTGATGTCACTGATGGGTCATCCTCTCTGCTTGAAGGACTGCTTACTCACTGTCTTTGTTTAAGTGAAACCCTGCAGACACTGTTGGCCCTCAGGGGCACATGGTGGTAGGCCACACAGGTGCCAGCTGTAGAAACTGAAACAGCAAAGGGTTGTCTCCTTCTAACCTGTTAGGTAATTCACTCCAGGGTAAAGACTTGAAGCTGAAAATAAGAAGTGAAGTAACACTGACACCTGGACAGTCAAATTAGAATTAGCTTGCTCTCCAAAACCTGAGGCACAAACTTAAGTAAATTTGTACATATACTTACTGCATGGCAAAAAAACAAACAAGATCCATAAGCATGTTTATTTCAAATGGCTTGTCAAGGCTGCATCCAAATGAAAAGGTCTCTGACAACACAGCTGTCAAACGATGAAAGCGAGATTTTGGCTGTAGTCACAGATACTGTTTCACCTTTTATGGGTTTATTTTTTTTCGAGTTAAAAAACTAAACAACTCATCCTCAACAAGGAGTCGTGCCAGAGCATCTGCATTACTCACAGCTGATTAGCAGCTGCAGCACCAAGTCAGATATATCAGAATTCTCACTGGGATGTTAAGGGGAACTGAATCTCCAAGACTGAAACTAGTTATAATGGGGAACTTCACCATAATACAATATAATGACCAATCCAGCTTGGTATTGCTTATTTTCACAGTTCTTTTTATGACATGCTGCACCGATTGTCTGGAAGTTTAAAACTATCAGCACTTTACAAAGCCCCAGCTGAGATATCAGGGTTAAATGTGCCTATAAAGTCTTACTGATTCCCCCTTTAATTAAAATAATCGATGTAGGGACATTAACACCTCCTTGTAAACCTGCACTGTCTCTGCCTTTTGTGTGTGTATTTCCTCTATTGAGTCACCAGAGGATATTTTCTGTTGGCTTGAAAGAGGGAAAAATTGTGACTCATCTTCGGACTGAAATAGTAAAATCAGCTGATGAATCAGGACTAGAAAGATCTGAATCATGTCCTCAGAGTAGGGCTGAACAACTTAATTAAAGTATTATTGATGTTGCAATGTCACCACGTGATTAAAGGTAAAATGTGTCACAACATACTATTATAAATGAAGCATTGTGGCGCTACTGCCTACGAAATCATATTCTCCAGATGTAAGGGAACAAAAAATCATCGTCAGTTTATATATTTTTTAAAAATGCAAATATTACCAGTACCTCGAATTGTGACTCATGTCGCAGCATCTGTCAAAACAATATGATTTTTATTTGTTCATATTTATCATTCAGCACAACCTTTGTGTCTTGAGGACTCTCCAATTCCTTCAAAATGCCTGAAAATTAAGGAAAAATAATGATTTATAAATTAATCCCTTTAGGCTTGGATGTAAATTAAAGAGTGTTTCGGGAGACTACAGACGTGTAATTCTGATTTTCACCTCACAAACTGCAGCACATGAGTGTCTCAGGCTGCGTTTACTGTCCTCCTCTCTGCAGTATCCCACTGTTTCCCCCCTCCTGGTCAGTCGGGTAATGCTGGAATGATAAAATGCTGACACAGTGCTAAGATTTCAAAGAGTTGTGCCTTCAGCCTGGCTCCTCATCGCTTTGTTGTGTAACACACTGTTCTCATTAGCGCCGTGCACTCAAACTACTTTTTGGGGTATTATGTAAGATGATATGTAAGATGATTTGTAAGATGATTTTCAGGAAATTATTACCCTTTTCTGGCTGCTAATCTGTCCGCCTACTATGCAAGAGCATTTAATTAAGCTTGTAATGCACTAAAATGGATTTAGGAATGTATTTGCAAGTTTTTCTCGCCTCTAGTTTCAAACACAATTACACGTTTATAATTAAAATAATTTAATCTACCCAAGACCCAGCTTTGAATCCTTTAGAGATTGGGTTTAATTAATTAAAAATGCATATTGCAAAGATACAAGTATCTTAAACCAAACTAAAGTTTGGGCTTATCATTTTATGGCCTTGAGGGCTTTAAGTAAGACATTTTATTCTCTTCTCTCCCTCTCCAGCAGTGCAGTTGAGTTGCTGTGCGAAATGATGGGTAATAATCCCAGTGAGCGTCCAGATTTTTTGAGCCCCGGAAAGTTTTAAAGGTCACAAAAATGTTTTCATGTTGTTGTTTTTTTTATCCCATAAAAACTGTTGATGTCAGCCTGGCAGCAGAAAGCTTTGAGCTCTTAAGAGAGTTTGAAACCACCAATTTCCTCTGTATTATAAAAATGCACCATCTTTTAACTTATTATCTTCATTATTTTCACAGACTTTCATGACATTAATATAAACTGTGATTGGAAGCTTTGAAAATTTTGGTCCCCTCAAGTACAGCTAAAAGTAATACAAAAGAGGCAGATGGATAATTATAATAATTCTGCAGTGTTTCCCCACAGATAGGCGGTGGCGGCGGCTGGGGTCTGGGTTAGCGATGTATATTTGTAGTTGCCGAGGTTTTTTCTTATTTAACCATTTTAATTATACTTCATTCTTCACCTTATTTTAGTGTTTACTCGCCTACTTGAATCAGCAAAGTAAACAGTCCGTTGTGGAAAGCAAGTGGCAACCTGTGGGGCAGAAAACTGCGGTTCATCGAACGGCCACTTGAGACTGGCTCCAAAGGACCAAGTCAATGCTTATGTTAAAATGCCCATCTTTACAGCATAAATAAACATGTTTATGGTACAAAAAATACTTTTGTTCCCTCTAGCTAATTTCAATAAGTCACCCATTGAAATTATATTAAGCCTTAAAGTTATGCATAATTAAGGGAATGGCTGTTTCTAGTAACAGGGCTAACTGCAGCAGCCGTGCTTTATTCAGCCTGCCTCCGCTTCACCCACGCTCCACCTCTTTACCCATTTTTGGATTAACCAGGAGTGATGCGCGACTAGCCACTGCCAAGATGATGATGGCCTGAGCCGCCAACATTGAGCTTCACACTCGCTGTACCTCTACGCTAAACCTATAGGTGACGTAACAGAGACTGCATCCATGTTTCATACAGTCTATAGCCATGTCTCCATGTAATTGTCACGCCAAGTTTAAGCGGACTTTTGAAATGTCGCAAAAAAGAAAAGTAAATGTGAAATGGGTGTTTCCATCAACTGCTTTGCAGCAAATAAACCAGGCAACGGCAATGGCTGTAATAAAGAAGACATATGTGTTCCTAACCAGAGGCAAAACCAGGCGCGTGGAACTGCTGGCCATTGAGCTTAGAAAAATGTGTTCAGAAATGTGTTTCAAGCAGGCAAACTGCTACCAGCCATGTATCCGCGTATTATAGGACTATCCGGCAAGACGCCGACAGCTGATCAGACGTGAGTTACAAGTTTGCTACGTCAGAATTTATTCGGCAAAAGTGTTTGTCTCCCATTTAGCGCATTAACACTTTTATCAACAAAGGCAAAATCCACCTCTAGAGAGAGTAAAAACTTTTTAAGGGATATTAAGGACTTGTTTGATTTGATCAACCTTTTCTAATGCGATACTTCAAAATGTGCATAAAAAAACAGCTGATTGTGGAAACTCACCTGCATGATAGTTGATAGTAGAGTTGTGTGATGGTAATTTGACTAAGAAAACTAATGAGCCATAAAATGTTAAAAGCTCCAATTAAACAAAACAAACAACAAAATTAAACACACCACTGGGCATGTTTCATATGCATTGTCTGTATATCTCTCGCCTTCAAGCTGGGCTTAATGCTGCACAATGTTTTCTACAACATTAGCTAATGAGAAGCTTCTCATGTTCACTAGTGCTCTAAGACTTTGTGACATGAATCAGAACAACAATAAACAAGTCAAGGCAGACGCTATCCACCTCAGTGTATCGCATGTTGCTGCCATCTCTGATTTCTGATTTAAACAGTCAAAACTAGTTAAGATATGTTTGAGCCTGCAGTATTTGGTAAGGTGTATTTTTAAGTGGGACAATGCAGAATCTGTGACCAAAGCAGCACCTGTCTTTCTGCAGCACTGTGCAGGACATTAATTAGACGAAAGGAACGAGATTGGCTCTGAAAGTCCTCACTAATAAGCAACTGTCTTCCCCCTTTTACTTTTACTACTAATGACCTAAATGTCACTGAAGAATGGCGAGAGTATAAGAAGCATTTACTGTTCAGCCCAGTGAGTCGCTGAGCTGAGATGCAGGCTCATTAAAACATTGCATCTACATTTCAGACATTTAAATGGAGAGGCTCATTGTGGATGTTTTAAAAGTAGAGAAAATATGAGGTCACATTAAAACTGAGATTACATGTAGTAAAGAGCTTTTGTCACAGCAGATATTCGACTTGTGAAACAACATTAATGCCCGTTCCATTTTGAAATTAGTAACTCAGTAGCATTATCCGTCCACCAGGGAGCACTTAAAAGCATCTCATGTTCCTTAAATGTCAGACGTTGACTTTAGTGACTTGTATGTTGCAGAGTTTGTCACTAAAGAGGTGTTTTCACATTTCTCCACTGAAGAGGAGATGTCTAAACACTTTCCTAAAGCCTGAGATTCCCTCGCATTGGATGATTTCTAATTCAGATCCAGGAGGAAGTGAAACAGAATATACCTGAGAAGAGGTTGGTTTAAACCATAAACTGGATAGAAGAATTGGACGTCACCCGTTGGTTTGCGGATTGTCGTTTTGAAGCCTCGAGTTTGGCCGATAGGGCGCCGCCATGTTGTTTTGTTTTTTTCACCGGATCCCCGGATAGCTATGTGCTTCTTTAATTCACCTTAACTGTGATTTTTTTTCCTCTAAATGGTACCATAATTTACTAAATGACCATCATGTTGTATTGAAGAAGACCTGAAACTAGCGATTGAGACCATAAACTCATTATGAAAGTGTT